CATTTCATCAAACGGAATCACTGATTTTCGGCAGGTTACATTTTGCACGTTTCCGTTTCTTTAATTATTGTGCAACGCTAATTTAATGATTTAAAACGTTAATGCTTCAGGATAGGCGGTGGTGTGAATCGAGCTCCTGAAACGCAGCTGTAAAATAAATTGAACGACAGCAGTCGTCGACTTTGTTTGCAGCGTGGTGTGTTAAAAGCCATCTTGATCGTTTCCTGCCAAAGGTGTTTTCATTGCAGTCGTACTCCAAAACATTTGACGCATGCTTCAAGTCCTCAGTTATGAGCGTGCACCTCAGTTGGATCCTGTGTTCAGAGTTACGTTCTCTATGAAAATATTTCATGCACGCTCTCTTCCTACAGGAGAGTTCTATTATGATCGGGAATGTGATCAGAACAATGGTACAAATGAAGAAAACGAGTGTGGTGTCGACTTTGGCTTTCTACTTTATTGGTGCATAATTCATATCCTAAAAATTTTACTTACTATCTGCTTATTGATTTCCTTGCTGAAGAAATTCACTTTCTCGCAACCAGCCGACAAATGGGCACGAGTGGCTGGTTGATCTGCGACTAACAGGGACGACTGTGCGGCTAGAATGGGCGTGCCGGGGCGGGTTAAACATGCACCATGCTGTTTCTACGTTCATTGTACCCTTGCAATTCGAATGGACCACCCGACTGAAGACAGCCCTAAAGCGTAAACCGTAAATTTCAATTTAAAATCTTGTCTGTATTTAAGCACGATGGACACTATAGCTAGAAAGTTGCATTAATTCAATTCAATCTAATTCATTTCATGGGCCAGTACACTTCAACAGGTTACTTAGGAATAAGAAAGCAATGCACAGGACTATATGGTAAGAGATTGCAGTAATATTTAGCACGACGAAAGGCTAAATTACGAAGGAGAAACGAATTGCTGAGGGATGATGACAAGCTCAAGTAGCTTCGATTCCACAAGCATGCTTTTGTCTGCATGCTTTTGTATGGCAGAAAACGTGTCTGAATTGAATTTTTGCTTACCGTAACTTAGACCGAGAAACTGACAGTATATTTTCTGTGCAACTTTGGCTTTACATATAATTTTACATCGCGTAAAACCGCAGATTCTGACATGTTTGAACCACCGGGTTGAGACGTCTTACGGTGACTCTCGATTTGTACTAACCTGATTTTCAAGATTCGACTGCTTACAGATTTCTACATAGCTATTCAATGAACTATGCTGCAGTACCCACCAAGGAATGCGCCTAAAGACATCACCTCAAGATGGCATCGTCTTCGCACCGGATACGACTGGGCTCCAACAGACGATGAAGCAATTACAAGATCAATCGTCTCCATCCGATTGTAGGTTAATCTCATTAAAACAAAATCGATGCAGAACGAGCATAGGCTTCTATTTAGGAGAATGGCAATCGACCGAAGACATCGCCAGCTGTGTTGTATACTTCAGCTATCAAGGGAACCGCAGGACCGTTTTGGACAAGCAAATCAGCGCACGAAGGAAGGCAGCGTAGGTCAGCTGTAACAGTATTGAGGCATTGCTGCTTGATGGTGAGCTGTCGATTCGGGGAAGTAGGAACTGATCGATTCAACCATCCTATCCACTATTATGTACGGCTCTGAATGTCGATCTGCTTCTAACCGTGAGAAGAACATACTGTTGGAGGCACAAAATCGGCAAAATGCGATGGGGGCATAGAGTCTTCCTCCGGGATTACCTTCGGAGAGCACAAATGCGACAATGGACTGGACTAACAGACTTAGTATCTGCCGTCCACGATGCCAGTTGAAAACAGATCGGCTGTGTGGCTTGTCGGAGGGATAACCGTTGGGAGCAGC